TTGGAGGCAAACCTGAACTCGGGAGTGGGAGGCCCTGTGGGGTGGGGAGGCTCATCTGCTGTCTCTTCTCTCAGCAGCGGCAGGAAGCCTGCCCCGCAGGCAGCCCACCCCTTCTCTCTCCTGCCCAGGATGAATCAGCTGGTGGGAACTGCAGGTACCCTGGGAAAGAAGGCACAGCTGACCAGCATGCTGACGTCTCCACTCAGCCACCGCTGAATGGGAGCCCTGTTCTTTCTGGATGAAAAAGATGGAGCAACTTCCAGCCTTTCATCCAAAGGAGCTCAAACCTCTCTGTTGCACCTGCCCCACACAAAACGGTTGTGTCCTGAAAGCGTCGAGACAGGCCACTTTCTCCATCTGATGTGGAGTCATTTTCAAGCAAAGCAGTGGAAGGTCAGTTGCTCCATGTGGCTGGCTTCCAAGAAAACCAAGCCAGTTCTTCCAGGACTGCCACGCTCTGAAGTGGGATCAGGGGCTGTTGTGTCGTGTCCCTTTTCTGCTGGCATTCTGAACACCTCCCATGATTGAGCCCCTGTCTGTCACCCCCCCACTGAGTCAGCACCTGCACAGCTGCCCCCACCCCCACCCCCCATGGCGAGGTCATGCAGATGTTGGCTGCCTGGCCCCCTGCACTGCACAGCCACAAGGCAAATCTCCCAAAACTGAGTTGAGTGATACTCGTGAAGGTTGTGGAAAAGTCCATCACCTGGAAAACTCCATCACCCAAGAGGCCCCAAGAACAGGGCTCCAAAGAGCAACTGCGCTGACAAAATCTCACCGTGGGCACTCAGCTGGGTGTGGCATTGCTCATCACTTATTAGCAAATTAGTGTCTGCTTTCACAGACACTGATTTATAATCTTCCTGAAGGGCAGCTATTGCCAGACTCGAGCGAAGTATCGTTCCTATGTCCCCTGGAGCCATTGTTCCAGAAGCTCTGATGCAGCGTTCCAGAGTGTTCCAGACTCAAGGAGCGGCCAAAAGTACGTTGGAGGCGCTCCTGTTGTAAGGTCCAAATGATACCACCTCCTCTGACTCCTGGGAGGCCGCTCTCCTCTCAGCCTGGCGCAGGGCTGAGTGAACAGCTCATGCAGGGGAATCTCAGGAGGGACCCAGCCCTGAGAACAGCTCCTTGACCCCATCTCAGAACCCCAGGCTCAGCCTCTCCCCTGCCAACAGGTTCTCAGTAACAGGGGGGAATAACAATGTATCCCTGAGTAATTGTTTAAAATGCAAATTTGAGGCCTCCACCAGGAAGATTGACTCAGAATGGGTCAGGGCTGGGATCTGGACTCATCCACCAGCCCCAGGGGATTTTTGTGTTCACTTAGTAGAGCCACCATCCCCCATTTTGTTGATGCTCAAGGCCCAAATCTCTTCAAGAACTTAGTAACCTGATGCAACATCCCATTTCAGATTTGATTTGTATGTTTGATGCTTATATGTATTTGGGTACCCGTACTGAAAAGTAATCTATTTATTTATTTATTTATTTATTATGTTTTTTGTGGGACCCTCGCTGGCGGCCGGGGAACGAACCGGCGCTGCAGAGGCTGTGGGCAGCTTCGTAACCCAGCACTCAACCGCTGCGCCACTGGGGGAGGACCAAAAGTAATCTAATTTTTGACAGAACTGGATCATGATGTCAAAGCATAATGAAGAATTAAGAATAAAGCTTGCGTTTCAAAGGAAAATGTCACCCATGCCAGGTGGGAGGTGAGGAAGGCTGCCCTTGGGGGCAGAAATTCATGTGCTCACCTCAGAAAATTCAGTGTTCTAGCAAATTCTTCCAGAGCCTTTCCTACATAAATTTGCAGAATCCTGAACAACTAGGTGTCTAAGGTCCCTGCAAACAAGCTGTGTCTTCGGAAGGTCTGGAACACGAGTTGCCTGTGAAGCCAAAACACGAGAAGATAAAGGAATGATTTGAGACTCACTATGAAAATACAAAGTCCATTTGGGAACACAGGCCTAACCAGGCTGTCCAGTCCCGAGGGCCCCCCTCCCTCACCCCCCACTCTCCTCTGCTGGTACCTGACCCAGTTTCCTTGTTTCTCTAACCCACGTTGAGATATGGACAGAACGAAAGGTGGCTGAAGCCCGGAGGGAGGGGAGCCTCTCGGCACAATTGTACTTTCTTTTCAAATCAGCACCAACACCGATTCCAGATGCAACTACACCCCCACCCCCCTCCCTCATACCCAAGACCGCCGCAGAGGTGAGCTGCGATTTCTCAATTGTGTCCTGGGCCAACACATGAGGACACTCAGGAGCAAATCCAGACTTGCCGGTCCCATGTCGATTACACAAACCTTGGCCTGGAACATGGAATAAAGTGAGTAGGCACAAGGAGCTGAACATTCCATGGCCGGCGTGTCGGATGCCTGCTTGGTGCCCACAGGCCTGGCACGGTGCCCACTCCTGCAGGCTCTGGGCTCCGTGAACACCAACAGCCCAGTGTCAGCTCTTGAACCTTTCAAGGACCAGATGGAGAAAGGGGGATTTGAGGGTCTCCTTCCTTCCATAGCCAGAAAGAGGAGCTGGTCTTTGTCCTTTCTCCCATATGTAGTTAGCTGATGACCCTTCAAGAATTCTGAATTCTGGGGGCCTCCCTGGTGGCGCAAGGGGTTAAAGCACCGCACTATGAAGCAATCTGCAGCCTCTTCAGCATGATTTCGATCCCCAGCTGGCCAGAGAAGCCTCTCCACATGGCGAAGCAGGCCTCTCCTGTCTCGCCCGCTGCTCCCCCCAGCAGTGTGCTTCGGTCTGTCTGCCTGTTCTGTTCCCCACTCTGTCTCTGGTGAGTCCTCTCACCCCCCGTATCTCTGGCCTGTACCCCAGCTCTTGTATGCATAAATAAATAAATCTTTAAAAAAAAATTCTGAATTCAAGAAGGAAGGGGAGATTGTGCATGCCATTTAAATGAGCACACAAAGTGAAAAACACCAAACCACAGCTCCCAGGATATAATAGAAACAAGAGCTTAATATAACATTCAAGCCTAGCAAAAAAAAAAAAAAAAAAAGACTGCTGGATCCTAATCCTCTCTGCACCTCCTTCCTCCCTCACCCTCCTTTTCTCTCTGTGTTGATTCCATACTGGCCCACTGCTGGGGACACACACCCACACCCCAACAGAAGCCAGGATAAAACTCAACTCCCATAAACAGGAACTTTATTAAACTACATGTTATGTAAAAGAACATATAAATGAGCCTTTAAATACATTCATCTTAAACAAATTTATATAGAAACTTATTTACATTTCTCCATTATATACTTAAATTATATTTCCAAGCTTACTACCGATAAAAGGTAATAAAATGATCATCTGCTCACACAGATGCTTACACGGTTGTCCACAGGGCTGAGTAAAACACCACTTCAGCTTACTGGGTTTCTAAGCAACAACCCAGTCAGAAGTGCTTTCTTCTGGGCAGATCTCTGCTGCAGAGACGCCGGGGTGGTTCTGAGAAGCTGGTCGCGGGCTCGGATTGGGACTCTGGGGAGCTAGAAGGACCCTGGGAACCATTGCTGAGGCTGGGGCCCCAACTGCACAGCCTGGGAAACAGGCTTAGGGAGCGGGAGTGACCAAAGTCACAGTATCGGTGACCAAGCAGGAACGTGGACCTGGGTTCCCAGGGTCCTGCCCCCTTCACTGTCCACACATCCAAACGTTCGACTCTTTCATTCACGTCCTACCCACCACGGGTCCTGTTCGAAACATTGTGGGGTGCATGGTCAATGGTCTGATTTGTTAGATTTCTTTGAGGTGAAACGTGCTCAGGGCCGCTGCACCAGGGCCGTCGCCGTCCGGCGCCTTCCCTCCCCCACCATGGAGCTCACCGTGCCCATCGGGCTGCGCCACGGAGCCCATAGTTTCCAAATCACTTGGAGGGGGCAGCTAATGTTCTCACACCAACCCCCCGGATCCACCACATTTGCCTAAACCCATCGACTACTGTTGGGTGTGAATCGAAGCTTCACTAAAATATGACCAAAGGCGAAAAAAGGGGGAGCAACTTACAACTTTTGAGAATTACTCCAATTTGTCTCCAGGGGCAAGTGGTGAAAACAGGCACCTGTTAGAAGAAGGACCTGTTTCTCCTTCTTTTGAATGAAGTCTGACTTTTTCTTTTCAAAGTTTTCCTGACACTATAGATTCTTCTGACAGGAACTGCACTGCGGGGGGAGGGCTCTGTGTTTAAAACCTTGATTTGGTTTTTCTCAGGCTTTAAAAACCACTGTAACCAAAAAACACGTGAAGTTGGAAATATTGTGTCTGACAGAGAGAGAGAGAGAGAGAGAGAGAGAGAGAGAGAGAGAGAGAGAGGGTGGGTTTATTTTTCCCTGTAACCAAAGAGAACACAAGTCCTAGCAGCCTTCACTCTGTTGTGTGACAGACTCACAAACGAGAACACACAGAACGGGAAAGATGTGCTCAGCCGAGCAGTTCCTGACGCCTGTCCATGAAAATGTGGCCTGTCTAGAATCTGGAAGGTCTGGCATTCTCCCAGGGCTGACACCCAGCAGCAGGGGGGGCTCACCCAGCAGCTGTGGGGCCCCCGGGGGCCTGCCCTGAACACATGGGAACCCCTGATTCCTATGGGAGACCGTCCCCCCTTCTGTGTCACTCCAGCACCTTCCCCCACAGTCACGGCGGGGAGAGAAGAGGCAGCAGGTCTTGAAGGAGATGGTGCCAGCCACAGAACACCCAAGGCCTTGCAGAGTCCAGCTGCCAGCAATGGAAGGGGCCACCCTGAGGCCAGGGAACAAGGAAGATAACATCTTCACAGGAGGGGTTGTTTCCCTGTCGAGACCCCTCCCACCCCGGGGAGGCATTTCACTCCGCCAAAGGAACCGACTAAAATAACATTTCATTTTCATAATAAAAAAATAAGTCTTTGATATATAAAAACTGGCCAGAATCCTTTCTCCACTCGACTGGTTACATGAGAAGGTCACCTTAGCGCGTGAATCAGCAGGTCTTGGGGGGGGGGGGGGCGTGCAGGGGAGGTGCCAGCCCATCACAGTAGTCACTGTACACCGAGCTTGGGGGTTCACAGTGGGAGTGGGCGCCGCAGGTGGCACCTGGCTGTCGCTTCAGGAACACAGGCCTTGCCAGCTTTAGGTGGGGGGTAGGGCGTGGGCCTTAGCAGCAGCCACTCTCCCCATGCGGCCCCAGGAAGGGTGAGCGGGAAGCCCCCCAAGCCCCCCATCACTTCCACAAGGGGTTGAGGATTTTCCCCAGCGTGGTCCTATTGGAGTCTTTCGCCCTGAGCGAAGCCCTGTTGTCCCCAGCGCCTCGGCCCTTCAGCAAAGGGGCTTCCGTGTTGCCCCGGGGCGCATCCGCAGCCGCTGGAGCCTTTTTGGGGGCCCGGGCGCTGCTGGCCCGCCGCAGGGCCGCGCTGTCTCTGCTCGCAGAGTCTTCGGGGACACCCTTCACCCTCAGCTGCCGCTGGGAGACGGTCCTCGTGAGGGCTCTGCCCACGGGAGGGGGCTCGGCCTTCGTGGCCCGCGAGGAGGAGGCCACAGTGTTGCGGGCGAAGCTCGGGACGGGCGGCGGGGCGCGGGGGCCGGCGGGGGCTGGCGGGGGCCGGGGCTCCTCTTCGGGGGGCTGTCGGCGCCCGGCGAGCTGGAGCGGCAGATCTTGGGCTCCTCGGGCTTCTGCCTGGGGACGTTCCTGAGCGGCTTGGCGCTGGGCTTCCTGCAGGCGCCCCGGGGCGGCGGCGCGGGCTCCTTCCCGGGCCGGGCGCTGACCGAGCCGCTGGCGCGCGGCAGCCTCTGCTCCTCGGGGCGCCGGGGCGACGTGTCCGCGGTGCCCTTCACGGAGCTGCGGCGCAGCCAGGGCGCCTCCGTGCTGCCGGGGGGCTCCCGCGGGGGCCGCTTCCAGCCCCCCGAGCCCCGGCTGGCCCTGGAGATGGGCACCACCTTGCGCATGCTCTCGCTCTCCCAGGAGGTCAGCGTGCGCACCGGCCGGGGCGCGGCGGCCACCGGGCTGCGCCGGGCACCCCCGGGCTTGGCGGCGCCAGGGGACGCCTCTTTGGGGGAGTTTCTCTTCGGCGCAGCCACCTCCTTCCCTCTGGCGGCTCTGTCCCTGGGAAGGGCAGCCTTGGGGCCCGGCCCGCTTTTCTCGGACACCGGGGCAGGGGCCGCCCCTGTGGGGCTGGAGGTGGAAACCTGGCTGCCCCCCAGCTCCCCGGCCCCAGAAGACACAGAGCCGTCCCCCTCGGCCCCCTCTCGGGGCTGCTCCCCTTCGGGCCTGCCGTCCGCGCCCTCTGAGCAGTCCAAGGTCAGCGAGCAGTCGGTGGTGTCGGAGATGTAAAACAGACGCCCCGGTTCTTTGTTCTCGGGGTCACTGCTGCCCATGGATGCCAGGGCTGCCCCGTCCTCCTCCAGGGCTGTGCTGACACCCCCCTGGGCGCCCCTGTCCGCAGGCATCAGGCTGCCGTTGCTGATCACGGGGGACGGCGAACGCCCGTCCTCAGAAGGCGCCGGCTCCACCGGGCAGTCATTCAGGGCCAGCCGCGCTGTCTCCTCGGAGTGCTTGGGACTCTGGAGCTCAAACTGGGCCAGCCCGGTGACCAGCTCGTGCTCCTTAATTCCCAGAGCCAACGGCGAGAGTGGCGGGGACAAGGCCGGGCCCAGGCCCACGGGTTCGCTGTTCCTCTTTCGCAGGACACTGACCCCGCCCCGCCCGGCCCGGGGCACAGCAGAGGCAGGGTCCCTAGGCCAGGGGGCCGTGAGGTGGCTCCTCCAGGCTGAGGGCGGGTGGGAGTCTTCCTCCTGGCCCTGTGCGGCCTGAGGTCTGTGTGCCTGGTGGGCGTCTGCGTCCCTCTGTCCTCCGGGCTCCGTCCAGGCTGCCGCGGGCTGGGCCTGGTGCGGGCTGCTGCAGGGCAAGCTGTTGAACGTGTTGAGCTCCTCGGAGCTGCCGGTGGAGCTCTCCAGGAAGGTCAGCAGCTCCCGGTCAGCAGAGGCGCCCAGGGAGAGGCGGGAGCGGCGGGTGTTGGGGGGTCGGTAGGAAGGGCTGACCGGCCTGGTGTGCAGGAAGGGGGGCAGGTCCTCCGTGCCCTTCTTGGTCAGCAGCTCCACGTCATTCTCACTGCTGCTCCTGCCGAATCCCCCCAGCTCCCCAGCCGTCCAGGACCGCCGCTTCTGCTCCAGCTCCTTTAGCCGCTGCTGCTGCCTCAGCTCCTGCACCTCCCGGTCATGGTTGTCCTGAATGAGGGGTGAAGGAAAACCGAAAGCTGCGTGAGACGCATGGGGTCCACGTGCAGCTCCAGAGCCGCCTCCCCTAAGACCCCCATGCAGTGACTGCGTGGAGGAGACTGTGTTGGTTGCCCAGGCGCTTGTCTGGAGGGAGGGTCCTGACCGGAGGAGCACACTAGCCGGGCCCCCACAATCTAAGATCGCCATGGGTCTCTGGGCCCAGCTTGTAGCTTTCCGATCAAGGCCCTGTTCCCTCGGCATGGGCTGCGATTCCACACCCCACAGCCTCGCGTCCCAGGAGATCCTGCTTGGCTTCTCAGCTGGCTGTGAGAGTAGCACTTTCAGGAATGAGCTCTTTGGGTGATGGCAGAGAAAAACATCATGGATGTTTAAAGAGGGGGCCCGACAAAGATAAACAGCTGGGACTACATCAAATTAAAGAGCTTCTGCACAGCAAAAGAGACAATAACAAAAACAAAGAGAAACCCCACCAACTGGGAGAACATTTTTGCACCCAACACTAATGATAAAGGACTGATCACAAAAATCTGCAAAGAGCTGATGAGACTCAGCAACAACAAAGAAAATAATCCAGTCAAAAAATGGGCAGAAGAGCTAAAAAGAAACTTCTCTGAAGAGGAAATGCAAATGGCCAACAGGCATATGAAAAAATGTTCAACATCACTTGCCATCAGGGAAATGCAAATCAAAACTACCATGAGATACCATCTTACACCAGTGAGAATGGCACATATTAAAAAAACTAGCAACAACAAATGCTGGCGAGGGTGTGGAGAAAAAGGAACTCTTCTGCACTGTTGGTGGGAGTGCAAACTGGTCCAACCACTGTGGAGAGCTGTGTGGAGATTTCTGGACCTACTAAACATAGAGCTTCCATATGATCCAGCAATTCCACTCCTAGGTATTTACCCAAAGGACACAGAAACATCAATTCCAAAGAACACCTGCACCCCTATGTTTATAGCAGCACTGTTTACAATAGCTAAGCTTTGGAAACAACCCAAATGCCCAAAAATAGATGACTGGATCAAGAAGATGTGGTACATATATACCATGGAATATTACTCAGCATTCAAAAAAGATAAACACATGCAATTTGCAGCAACATGGATGGCACTGGAAGGGATCATGCTCAGCGAAATAAGCCAAAAAGAAAAAGAAAAATACCGGATGGTCTCACTCATAGCAGGAATCTAGAAAACTTAAATAAGGGACCAGGAAAATGAATAACTATAAGAAAGTGAAAATCAAAATCAACAAAAAACTATGAACCAGAGACACTTTTAGGGGGGCGGGGGCGGGAGGGGAGGGATTGGGGTCAGAATGGGGGGGCTGCAATTGTATGGGGAATATAACAAAATTTATAAAAAAAAAAAAAAAAAAAAAAAAACATCGAGTGAAGTGAAAAAAAAAAAAAAAAAAAAAATAAAGAGGGGGCCCGAAATGATCCCCGTGTCCCAAGGACACGGCTTCACACACTCATGCCTGCACGCTCCTGTGTAGCGCCATCTACTTGATCTGATTTGGATCCACAAGTGCACACCAAGGATACTGAAGTGCCTTTCAGCCTCCGTGCTCAGACTGCTCCCTGGTAAAGAGACCCCAGCAATGCCACGGTGTCCTGTCCCTCGTGCCCCACCCTGCGTTTGCAATCAGCAAAAGGATTTGCCTTGTAAATCCTTCTACCTTGCACACTGCTCCAAGCACCCGCTCCCCCACCAAAACAGCTGAACCCACACCCCCCAGAGCTGGCTCCTCTGCCTGGCTGTGCACTTTCAATATATTGGTGTCAAGGAATACGCGCTCTCGCAACCCCGGTCTAGGGCTGTTCGCACTCTTAACTCAACAACCAAGTTCCTCAAATGGGCTTTCCCTTCCAAGTTTCTGGAAGGCTTTGGCTCTGCCTGGTGGCTCTTGGCTCCTCCCACAGCTCTGGCCTTAGCCTTCCCACTGTGGCAGGGGGTCTGGGCTAAGCACATCGCACGGGGTCTCACAGGCCTGCAGGAGTGAGGGTCTGACTAGGAGTGAGGGTCACACACCTCGGCTCTGAAAGAGCCAACTCGGCCTCAACCCCCCCATCCACCACCCCTGCTGAGCTCACTGCTTGGAACAGGGAGAGCCGACATGGCCCCAGGCTCTCTCCCAGCTGGAGAGGAAGGAGGGGTGGGTGGCTCAAGTCACTCTGGGCTCCCACGTAGGGCTGGAGAGAAATTTCACCAGCCCCTCAAAGAAATTTTGCAAAGGACAAATGTGCCTTTCAAATATAGCAGTAGAGATGATGCACAAGTATTTGATTTCTCATCTCCACGGAGAGGAGAGGATACGAGGCGGCATGTTTCTCATTTGAGGCTTTATGTGCAAAGCCAAACCACCCAGAGAATTTTCAGAGATTATTGGAATCAGAGGCTGACAGGCGAGAAAAGTAGCTGTTATTGCTAGCACTTTGGCCACTAGCAGGCTCCTTAAGTATCAGAGAATTCTGAAGCCTGCTGAGCAAGGACAGCAGGTGACACGGTAGTCCACGGCGCCAGCCCTGGCGATGGCTAGGGAGCTTGGAAGAAGTGAGGGCCTTCTGATGATCCCACCCCACAGAGGTCTCCCCGAAGAGGGTGTTCTCTCCTGCAGACAGGGGTGAGACGCGTCACAGAGACTTTAATCTGGCAACTGCCATCGTAATAAGCGTCACTGAGCAAAGGCCTTCAGGGCATCGGAGCAAGTGTTGGTGTAAGTAGCTGGACCCCTGACGAGACAACACAGCACGTGGGGCTGGGGTGGCAGAGGCACTTGCCAGTAATCCCAACAAGGCCGGCCACACTCCCTGGCCCAATTTCCCTGAAACCATGGAAATGCTGAACCTCCGCCGTGGGCAGAGGGCTGGGTCTGGAAGGAGGACAGTAAAAAGACCAACAACTCTGAAAACCCGAGATGCCATCAGCCATACCTTAACTGCTTTGTTGAACTTGACACAAAAGTCCCTAAATATCTGAAGGCATTCGTCCAGTTTCATGGTTTCTTTGTCTTCACAGAAAAAGTCTATCAGGGTGTGGGCCTCGTCCCGCAGCTCCTGTTTCCAGCGCTCCAAGTCCATCAGCTTCTCCGTGGCAAACTGCAGGAAGACAAACAGGCATGGTGAGCTGCTGAGGTGCTCAGCACCCCGTCCAGGGCCCGGGAGACTGGTGCTCCTGGGCTCGTGTCAGGTTTCAGAAAAAGAAGGTTCACGGCAAGTCCAATGTGCTCAGAGCCAAAAGGAGAATAACTCAAAAGAAACTCGGGCAAGCAGGGTGAACTCGTGTGAGGCCTGGAAGATGATGAGCTTCCACCTTGAATGCCACCAACACATGTCATGGCAAAAATGGCACAGGGGCGCTGTGGCTTTATCAGGACCCACACTCCTCTGTCCTTCCATGTCTTCTGGGGGTGGGTGGTTTACTGAAGGCTCCAAAGTCACTTGCTTGTATTGACAAGTTGTCCTACCTGAGGAGGATTTTAAACTCAATCCCAAGGGAGCTGTGTCAAGGTCAGTGTTACCCCCAAGGACTAAAGCCATCAGCTTTAACCAGGGGTGTTTCTTCAAGTTCCCTGGGAGACTCTTCTACAGTCCATGCCTGTTTCTCCCTTAACAGTTTTGTAGGCTTGGTGTGGGCTCGTCACTATGTTATTAAAACAGGAGATTCTGTTGGGCCCCAACACTTAGGAATTCTGCCCTGCACAAGGCCCCCCTCCTCATTGTCCCCAATTCACTCTTTCCTCCTCTTCCTTCTCTCCAACTCAGTGTCGCTCAGGCTGCTACAGATTTGGACCCTGCCTCCACTAAGAGAGGAGTTACCTTCCTCAAGGTTCCCAACCCTTTTAAATGGGGCTCTGCGTGGGCCAAGGGCATAGCAACACTTCTGAAGAACAGCCCAGCAACACTGAGCGCCGAGTTGGAGCGAGGGTGCAGCCCGCCTGAGGAGCCACAGCCTCTTGGAGACTGACCTTTGGGGTCACACTCGGGTCTCAGGTTGCTGTCCTTCTCCCTGGGGAGCAAAGCTGATGTGAGAAGGAATGTAGGAAGCATCTCACACATTCTTGTTTTCACCAAGGTTTATATCTGGAAAACTTCTTTATGAGTGGGGGCTGGGCCTAGGACATGGTGAGCTCACTGGAAAGTGGGTTCAAGGCGAGGCATCGTTGCTTAGGCATCATTTCAGAACTACAGAACTCAGGAAGAAATTCGAGAAGACTAGTCAGCCCCATTCACAACCTCCTTCTATTACACCAAACCAGTCAAGAGGTGGGAGAAAAGCAAAACTATTCAGGAAACAAAATACCAGAGAAAGTAACCATCTGAGTCAGCAGCCCCAGGCTGAATGTGGATTCACGCTGTATTTTTCTTTACGGGAGCGAAGAGTATTAATGAAAAGATAAATCTTTGCCTGTCATTCTTTCACAGGGGGAAAAATGGATTCCAGCCAAGAGCAGCTCAAGTGCAGGAAATCAGCACTCCTGACAAGAGCCTGCAACAGGGCTCAGCCCCTCCTGTGTCTCATCCCCAGACCCTGTGGACAGAAAAGACCAGGGAAGGTGATGGCACGAGGGGTTAAGTCTCAGCACTCTGAAGCTATCGCCAGCCACTGCAGCATGAGTTCGATACCCGTTGGGTCAGAGCCAACCCACATGGCGCAGCAGACCTCTCCTGTCTGGCCCGCTGCTCCCCTCAGCAGTGTATTTCAGTCCCTCTGCCTGTTCTGCTCCCCACTCTGTCTCTAGTGAATCCCCTCACCCCGCACCCCTCACCCCCACCCCCCCGACTCCCGTACCTCTGGCCTACACCCCAGCGCTTGAATGCATAAAATAAAATAAATCTTAAAAAAAGAAAAAGAAAAGGCCAGGGAGAAGCACAGGCACCCTGCAGTCACCTTCAGGACTTGGGAAAATGAAATAAGAATATAGATCTGAAAAATAAACTATTTGCTAAGAGTTATTTTTAGATCCCTTCCCACACCATCAGGGCCACAAAGGAAAAAGTCCAAAGTCACATGAGCAACGGTGAATGGCAGCAGAGGTGGCAGCGCGTTCAACTTTCCATTCTAACTTGTGGGCGCTGGACCAAAGTTCCAAACCAATCTGGTCCCTGTTCCTCCCCCAAAGGGTCATCATACTGAACCCAATCTGCAAACCTATTGCTATCATTTTCAACTCAGAAATCCTGGATGGTTTCCCTCCATGTAGAGACCACAGGCCCCATTTTCAGCCCAGCGTTCAGAGCCCTTTGGGGCTGTCCCTGCCCTCCCTGAAACAATTGCATCTCCCCTACTTAAAAAAGACACTGAAGTTATTAAAAAAGAAAAATAAATTGCTGTGTGGCCCACCCAGGATCAAACTCATGCTGCAGTGGCTGGCGATAGCTTCATAGTGCCGAGACTTAACCCCTTGTGCCACCAACCTCCCTGGTCTTTTCTGTCCACAGGATCTGGGGATGAGACACGGGTGGGGCTGAGCCCCGTGTAGGCTCTAAAAACGACCAGAAAGGGGAGCTTGGGAGTTCCAAGTTGCCCTCAAAGAACCATCCAGAGCGACAGCCCAGCACTGCCCAGTAGTGTAAGATGTTAACACTTAATTAAGGACTCGGGGGATGAGACACCGGAACTCTGGTCTCCAGGGATGACTGGTTTTCTCCTTGAATCCTGGGTTTATCTGTGTGACTGTTTCCCTGGACGGTTTTCCTACTATCGAGTGTCCCTGTGCTGGGTGGGCTTTGTTGTTTCACTTACAAAAAAAAATCTGTGCATTTTCAAGGGGATAGGAGATTTTGGTTCTATATGAAGAAAACACAGAACACGTGTCTCACAGTAAAGATAAACTCACAGCTGAGCCAAGCGAAATGAAATGCTTGCTGACGGAGCTGGGGCTCGGGAGAGGTAAGGCAACGGCGAGGAAGTAACACGAACGTCAGAGCTCGCGGCTCCTTCCAGCATGGAAGGTCCAGCACACAGGTGCCCGCTCCAGGGCACAGGCATTCAAGGAAGCCCACTGTCCCGCCAGCACCAACAGCCACATTTTTTTAAATAAGGAAGATAAAAGAAGTAACGTCAGACGCAAGGAGTGAGTCAGAGTGAGCTGTCACAAACATGTCCACTCTGCTGTTTTCTGTTGATGTTATTCGGACACACCCTGTGGGGTTGATGTCTTTGGGGTGCTGATAGGCACGGAGAACCTGTGTTCTGTGTTCTGTTCTTATTGTAAAACATGCCAAGACGCAACTAGCTGCTTCCATAAAAACAAGGGAAGGACAAGAACCCATTTACTATTTCTGTCCAAAATGTTGATTGAGAGGCAGGAAATGCTAAAACCAGGGTTTAAAACCAAACCCTGAGCTGCCGAGCTTAAGCCCCCGAAGCTGGGAGTAGCAAATTGCTAACACAAGAGGGAGATCAGCCCCTAAACAAACACCCTCATCTTAGACCACAAGCACCATCCCCAGCTAAAAGGCAATCTGCAAAGAAGGGGCACTGAAATACAAAGTCCCTTGTGCCAACTGGGGGAATAGTGTGAACAGGAACTTGCTGCTTCCACAAGCACACCCATGCAAACCCAACCAGCCTGCGGTGCCGCTGGCAGGTGGCATTAGAGGGGCTGTCAGGAATCCCCCACGAACCTGCAGGAAATCTTCCATCTGCTGACACAGCTCACTGTCCTGCTGGATGTTCTCCTTCAGGGACCTTGTCCTGACAAAGAGCGAATGCAGCTCCGCCTCCGTGCTATCCAGAGACAACCTGGAAGAAGAAAGGGGGGTTGGGCAGGCACTGCTGGGGAGCCACATACGGTGTGGGGACATCAGACAAGACCAGCCTCAGGGAAGACAAGACCAACAGAGGGGAAGCCGCTGAGATGGCCCATATTTAGGGCTCCCCCAGTGTTTATTTAAGGGGTGATTCCTTCCTCAAGATACACACCAGATCAAAGAGAGCAGATGGAGCGAGATAAACCAACTTGTAAAGCTTTTCATTAACTAGCCTGAGCACCTTTGTGCAACAAGCCGGCAGGACTGGGGTTCTTACACTCCCCTCTGGTCACAAACACAAACACAAGAGCTTCAACTCAAGAAAAGCTGGGCAGCAATGCTGAGAATCCTGAGCTTGACAGGGATGCGGGAGACGCCCAGGGCCTGCAGGGCCTGCTGCTCTAGCCTAGAAGGAATTAGCACAGCTGACATCCTGCCGGGGATTGGCATCTGGGGATGAGGCTTTTGTTATAAACCTCAAATCCAGGTTATTGAGAGGGAATGATATTTATCACATCCAGTAAAATGAATTGGTAGAACCTAAAATCCAGGCAGAATCCAATTAGCAAGTCCATACATCAGGATGCGTCTTGGCTTCCACCGTCAACCTTGACTTTGTGCTGTGCAGTAGGCTTCCTACAGCCACTGGTGCCCACCTACCACCCCTCTATACTGCCCAAGGGCACCTCCCCTTCGGTGACAAATCAACAAGCCTTACTGAATAGGGCTATTTCTAAGACAGCATCTAGCTAACCTTCCCCATCTAACTAACTCTGACCACAAGTTACTATTTCACAAATAAAACGGTGAGTCCTCTCTCTACAGACTTCTCTTAGTAACTTTTTTACACTAATCAGAGGAAAACTCATCGCACACATATTTCTTTTAGTAATTAAACACCAAAACAGTTGCTCTCTCCTAAAATGTTTATTCTTTGGGGGGATAATCTGATCTGTAAATGTGGACTGTGAGCTGTTCACGCCTCTGGGCGAATAATCTCACTTTGGAGAAGACATGTAATCTGTGGTTAGATTTTCAGAGTCAGGAACATGGGCGCACTGGCCAACGATAGGGCTTAGCTTGACAAAGTCATGAGTCATGTGTTTGTGCATATGGCTCAGAGCTGTCCTTACTGGAGACAGGAGCGAGGCCAACCTACAAAGTGGGGGGAGGGGGGCGCTCTGCAGAGGCGACTCTGGGTCTCTCGTCCCAATTCTGCATTCAGTATGTCACATGAGTAGCCTGGAATCAGCAGTGCTGTCACCATGGCAATCAGCAAATGCCACAAATCAGGACTTGTTTCCCGAAAAGCTGATCATTAAACATTGACCCCGGACGCATGAATATGGATTTAAATTTCAACACACAACTCCAAATAGCACGTGTACAAGGATTGTGGCTCCATCACAATACACATCTACATTAGCACCAGAAGCAGATTAAAGGGATGTAAATAGAGCTCAGTGTTTGGTAGTTTGGTAGATACTTTCTCTGTAAAGTTGAGTGACTAATTTAAAACAAAATCCTTTCACAGTCCTTGGGAAGGTTCCAACTTCTAATGTGATAGAAAACAAACGTACCATGTTAGATTTGACAAGGAAACAGTGATGCATGGCCTTGGAAGGTTTACTGATACATATAAACTTCAAGGCTGTGCTGTTTGAGCTCTATCTTTTGGGTGTGGATAAATTTCTTAATTCATATTTTTTTTATACTTGTGATATTCATTAGAATAGACTGCAATAAGTTTTTTACATTTAAAATACAGATTAATTTTTCAAAATCCCCAAATTCCAAAGGAGTGTGTGTATGTGTGCGCACATGCACACATGCAGACACACACACACCTTGGTATGCAAATGAAAGGAAGGTCCAAAAGTTCAACAAGGTAAAGCTTTTTAAAATTTAAACTTGAATCCAAAGTTGGTTATTATGAAAAGGCAGTTTAAGAAAACCCTTGAATTTTCAGTTTTGGTCTTCCCTACTTACCTAGCAGCCTCCTGCACATGATATAATTTTTCAGAAAAGTTTAGAAGAATGGCATCTTTCTTTTGAGCTTCCTGGAAGGAAAACAGAAACAGAATTTTCTCTCGCTCCATGGATAAAGCTGGAAGGAAATCATTTTCTCAGGACGTCACAGAACCTTCAAATCACCGTTCCTGCTTTTACGCTTGATACATTCAGAGCAAGACCCCGAGACAAGAACTCCAGTTCTTAGTAAGATTTACCAGAAACCCCCACTCTCACAACACCTTTACCTTCCCAGAGGAACCGATCCTGACGTGAAACACAACTCTTGTGCATGAAAACTCAAAGGAAGGAGGTGGCCACGAGCAGGGTCCATTGTTTCTGAGCAAACCCAATCGTTCTTGCTGACAGGCACTCATGCCCACGAGCATGCCTTTAAATGGCCGAGATACCTTCAGCTGTTCAACCAGTTTGCACGCTGAGCTTAGTCAGAAGGTACACAGGGTGTTTGGACTGTTCACCTGTTCAGAGTGGATGAGGGAGGCAGCTGGGAAGGAAGCAATTACTAAGTGGGGAAGCTTCCTGACGTAGGCAGGGTCCCAGAACACAGATATAAGGACCAAAAGGGACTCCCAGGAGGCCACCTGCAAGCCACATGGGCAAAGAGGACATTTGCTGTTTTAATGCCCTGGAAAGAAACTTTAAAATGAGCACCGAGGTCAGCGTGTCCCCATCTACCGAAGAACACAGTAATAACGGGGTGTGTTATTTATAGGGAGCTCACTACAGACTGAACATTGAGCTAGATAAGCACCTGGTGAATTATCTCCTTCAACCCACTCAATGACCTGATATTGAGGTAATGAGTCCCATCACTATACGAAAAGATCGAGGGTCTTAAGTGAGTGGCTGCCAGAAGGGAAGGGAGAAAGGAAAAGTGGGCTAAAAGGAAAGTGGGCTGTGCTGAAAGAAGAAGGTGGGCTGTGCAGTGAAGGACGGACTTGGACTGTTAAGGGGAATAACAGATGCTGATGTATATGATGCGCCCCTAAACCCTGGATTATAAGTCAATGTCACTTCAATGAAAATGTAAATAAAATGAAAAGAAATGGAGGCCTCCAGGTTAAAGGGTCTCATCTGAGGAAGGACACGTCAGCAACCTCCCACTCGGTCCTCCTCTGAAGCTCACCCGGAAACTCGTACACAGCCCAGGGTCCTCCCAGGTTAACACCAAGCTACATAATTGCTTTCATGCCAGGTGATTCCATGGAGGAAAAACACATCACGCTTCGTCATTGAGATTATTTTACAGCCACGAGATGACATATGCTTGGCTGATTTTTCACTTTAAGTGGCTATTATGGCCTCCCACACACCCAGCTCACGGTGGCAGTGATGGGCAGTGGTTCAGCCCCAAATCCCAAGCGAGCGGGCAGGCAACCAGACTCACAAGGCACGAAAAAAACAAAAACAGAAGTGACCCTGATCATCATGCTGAGTCCCCCACTTTCTGCACACAGCTGGTCAACAGCCAGTCAATTTGTTAGGGGGAAAAGGATGTCCCAAAGCAAATTCTATACAGGCTTTGTGGACTCCACCCCCACCCCAGGTCAAAGCCAAAGACACTGGGAACTCCAAATCCCATCACCACCAAAGGGAAGGTGGCTGGGACCTGAGGGTGGGGTTAAGCAGCCAGGTGGATATAAAAGGCAGACACGTGGGCTTTGGAGGATCCCCCATTTTTGGCTCTCCCCCAGCTCGCAGCGTCCGGCCAGCTCTGAGAGTGACTTTGGGTTTCCAGGTCGTCGGATCGGGTAGGACGCATTAAAGACTTTATTTCCCTATTTTCTCCCTGAGTTGTACATTTTCCTTATTTCCTTTTCTCTTGTAAATAAACCTTTTGTTAACCTTTTGTGTGTGTCTGTAGTGGAGTATTAATAAGTCCCTTTAAAGCGCGCGGGTGAGGACCCACAGCCAGGAACCCGTTTAATATCGGGACTGCTCTATAACAAATTCACCATCAGAAATGTCTCGACACCTCACCCAGGCCTCTACTTGCCACCCATGCGGCCTTTTCTCTCTTAGACACTCAGTCTACATTTCAACCCAATTTCTCACCAAGAGGAACTCCTATTTCCAATTCTCTCCAATTCAGTGCATTCTCCACATCACCTGACACTCCTAAAAACAAAGCAAAGCTAATCCTGCTATTACGCTCGGCACAAACTTGGATTGGTTCCCCATTTTTAAAGCATGGAATCCAAATGCTCAGTTTTAGGATGTGAATTCTTCATCATCAGGCTTCACTGCCCTCTGCCTCCCTCCACCAACCCCTTGGCTTCCCTCAAATCCCATAACCCTAGGAGCAGCTTAAGTCAGGAACTGGCCAAGAGAACCGTCTTGCCCTTTCTCAACCCAGGCACACCATCTCACACCTCAGAAAGACCTCAGCGCCCCAGGGGGACACATTAATCTCTGTATTAATCATTTCCACATACCTGTGCCACAAAGTGCAGAAGATTCATCCCAGGTTTGTTTGCTTTTGTGTCTGCCAATTTGAGCAAAGAAGACAGTTTAAATCCTACTGCATTGCCAGCGTACCCTCCCTGAAGAAGACAAATCAAAAGAAAAAAAAAATAGGCATATACCTTTAGACACACACGTGAAGTTGGATAATCAACATTTGAAATTTTTTTGGAGCTCTACTTACTGCATTCATGATATTCCCCGCCTGTAGCACCAAGTGTAATATGGAATGTAGCTCTTCACAGGATATCAGTTCTGTCAAGAGGAACACACCACAGAACCTCAGAGAAGCCGCTGGGTTACATGCATCAGAGACAATATCACTTCCAAGTTCAAGTGTTGAAGCAAGCCCTGACCCTTAGCTCTAAATAAAGGCAGAAAAAACACGAGTGGAGCCTCTCATGCTGTGTTCTACCTGATGCTGCTGACAATCACCATCCCAGACCCCCAGTGTCTAGCTGGGAATCAAATATGGGGGACAGTCAACACAAGACATTAGGGTACAGGAATGATTTTTTTTTTTTCTCAGCAGTTATTTCTTTTTTCCCCTTGACATCCATTTGCCTTTAAGACTGTATTTATGGAATATGAAAACTAAGAGTGAGACACATTTTGCTAAGCCCATGAGCAATGGGGAGATAAAACAGAAGCAGTCAGGCTGCAATGACATGTAAATAACTTGCAAAGCACCCGCCCTCAGGCCCAGGCACTCAAGAGATTCTTTCCATTTTATTCAAAACCATCCGTTTCATTTGGCTTGACTTAAAGGCTTACAAAGGAGCTTATCACTATAATATATTGTTCCTTAAACAGAGCATTCTTTTGTACACACACCTATGCTAAGAAACAATATTAAAAATTGCTAATGTATTTGAAAAGCTAAAAGGGCCTGATTATTAAAATGACAGAATAAAGAGGCAATAAAATCTCAATATGTTTTCAATTTCCTCCATGAGTCTGGTAGTATTTTCAAAAAATTACACTTGGATCACTGCCTATATTGTGTTATCTAAGAAGGCCAGTTTTTGAAGGGTAACCAGATAAGAAACGCTTCCACCAGGCCCACATATTCGCATCGCTCAATATGAAAACATATTCTTTCATCTCTGTTGGAACAGAATTGGTCCTCCTTCCAAAGTTGCTGCAGTAGTCTTGGAATAGGTATTGGAAGAAATTTTTGAAGACCTCTATACTGAAAGAATTCTCCTTAATCTTAGTCTCCTCTCTAAAACGAAGAAAATACGATGGACTGAAGAAAACAACTTTATCTCAGTACAGGCCAGAGCAACTGAACAGGAAAACCACCAGGATTGAACAATTCTTGACAACAGTTAACAAGAAATCCAGAAAATGACTGTGAGGACCTCAGGCTGGAGCTGAGGAATATGGAAAGGGCGGGTCAGGGAGCGCCAGAGCGGAGGGACGCAAACTCCTGCATTCACCCTGCATTCCCAGAGTCTGCAACACCAGGCAAAGCTCCCGCCCCGTCGGAGAGAGGAAAGTGATTCTGAGGGGTCTTTCCAAGCTGGGCAAGTGTTCAGCAAGTTGTTCGAAGAAATGGGATTGAACAGCTTGCCCCTCTCCACCAAACAGCCCGGCAGGCGTCAGGGTCTGGGGAGAACAGTGGCAAGAAGGCACCACACGGGACAGAAACACCAGAAACCTAGGCAGAAGAACCAGACTGGAGATGCCTGGGCGCGTCAGCACTCAGGGGGCCTGCACTTTGGGAAGTGGGTCCTTGACACCCAGAGGCTGGACCAAAGATGGAGAAAGGGACAGGTCCAGGGGCCCAGGCTTTGAGCATAAGCCACCACATACACACCACACGCACAGACACTAGACACCACACACAGACACCACACACTACACGCACACACAATGCACCGCACACTCAGACTGAACACACGTACCCTCAGATACCACACACACTATACACAGCACACGCCAGCTCCACCCAGACAGCTAACCTAAGAGAGAAATGAGAACCAGCTATAACCAGCAAGGTATTTACGCCAAATCTTGGAATGAAAGAAACTTAGCTTTAGGGGAAGGTGATATGCTAATTAATTGATTGATTGGTCAATTAATTAAGTAATTTATTAACCAGAGGGAAAAGTAAATAGAAATAAACTTCAATGCCCGCCACAGCCACCTCTCATTTCTCTTTTCAAAAATGACACTGAAAAGTATGAATCACACAAACAAACATTGCTTCAAATGTAGTACGTGAGTAAGAGTTCAGTTTAGACATAGAAATAAAAGCCACATGGCCAGCAGTCGGGAATGGAGGTGAAGAGAAAGTTGTCAAACCACATCACGGAGCAAGCTACACCTTCCTCACAGTGAAAACTGGAGCAAGGCAAGACCAAAACACTGCCATGTCCGCTGTCAGAGTCCCCCAACAAGACCCAGCACAGGCAGTGAGGAGCACCCAGGACGACTGTGGGCTGACTGTGCAGTTGACTGTTTTCAGGGTGTATCAGAAGGGGGACTTTCCATTTCTAATCTCCATCAAATCATGCTTAAGAATAAACTGCCACCCGAAGTCACGAAAACAAAGTAAATAAAGCATTATGTATTCACCTACCCTTTGTAGCAGTTCTCAGGATTGTTATATCTGTGTACAGAGCCGAACAAGAAGGTAAAAATTCCTTCTTTAGCACCATGGCTTCAATCCGAAGTGAGTAGCTGAAAGATAAAAAGTGAAACTGTAGCTCTCAATGTCATTAATTTAAAAAACTTACTCTGCAAAGTACAAAGATTGAGATCCTTACTTTGGCACCTGAATTAAGCGGTGCAGAAAGGAGTCTGCCAGGGACAGCTTGGAAACATCTCCAGTGAAAGATTTTAATTTCTTTATCTAAAAGACAAAAGGAAAGGGTAGGAGGGAAGAGAAAAAAACAACATGATTAAAATGTAACATTATTAAATTTCACCTTGGAATTCCATTAAGAAAATAGAAATTCAGTGTTAAGTTCACATTAATAAAAATGTGGAGCTAAGAAAAGACAGAAAGGGAAATCATCGCCTGTACTATTTTGTTTTTTTGCAAGAAAAACCAGATAATGTGGGTATAACAATCCATATAAACTAGAAAGTGGGTGGGCCTCCCTGGAGGTGCAAGGGGTTAAGTACCGCACTATAAAGCAATCCACAGCCTCTGCAGCAGAAGTTCGATCCCTGGCCAGAGAGCAACCCACATGGCGAGGCAGACCTCTCCTGTCTTGCCCGCTGCTCCCCTCAGCAGTGTATTTCAGTCAATCTGCCTGTTCTGTTCCCCACTCTGTCTTTGGTGAATCCTCTCCCCCTCCCCTTCCCACCCTGCATCTCTGGCATGTGCCCCAGCTCTTATATGCATAAATAAATACATCTTTTAAAAAATTAATAAACTAGAAAGTAGGAACCACTAAGACCCCCCAGGGAGGACACTGAAGGGAGTCTGAGAGAAGGTCAATCTGAGGATAAAAATGTTCTGGAAGTTGGAATGGGGAAGGGAGCTCATTGTCTGGAAGAAGAAAGAAGAGGCTGGATGGTGACTAGGACAGTCTCTTTCTCATAAGTAAAGCAATCTTATTCTGGATGTGAGCTACTTCGGCTGGGCAGGGTGTAACACAGATCTTTCTGGGAACAAATGCCACTGCACATACATAAGCTTTACAGGAAGGGGCTAGTGTATGTAGTCCTGGGTCTCCAGAGGAAAGATTCCAGCATCTATGCCCCCACCCCATGCCCACACACTAGACACTGGGGCTAGGACTACAGTGATGATTCGTTTCATCTGCTGCTCATTTTTATTTTCTAGAATGCCTACAATGAACAAGTATTTCTCTTGCAAAAAAAAAAAAAAATGACACTGAAAAGTATGAATCACACAAACAAACATTGCTTCAAATGTAGTACGTGAGTAAGAGTTCAGTTTAGACATAGAAATAAAAGCCACATGGCCAGCAGTCGGGAATGGAGGTGAAGAGAAAGTTCTCAAACCACATCACAGAGCAAGCTACACCTTCCTCACAGTGAAAACTGGAGCAAGCCAAGACCAAAACACTGCCATGTCCGCTGTCAGAGTCCCCCAGCAAGACCCAGCACAGGCAGTGAGGAGCACCCAGGACGACCGTGGGCCGCCTGCGCAGCTGACCGTTGTCATCAGCTCTTCCCACTCCTTATTGTCCTTAATACAGCTGAATCTCCTCCTGACCCCACCCCACCACGTTGGATGCCCATAAAAATAACATGACTTTTAAACCTCTATAAAAATAGGAAGTGACAGCTCACAAACAGAAAGGAGACAGTATTTACAAAGACCCGCGCACACAAGTATCAACAACAATTATCTGAAAATACGAGATGGGACTGTGCAGACGTGCACCCTGATGTTAAGTCTGGCCCTTGGATTATTCCTCAGTATAACTGGAAAAAATATTCCTGCACAAATGTGAAAAGAAAAAAAAGATGACTTTCTTTGTGATGAGCAGGAAAAAAATAGCCATTTACAGAACGGTGTCATTTCCTCTACCTTTGGGTCCCAAAGTGACAGGATCACTTTAGTCTTGCTAAATTTAAGGGCAGATGGAACCTCTGGTTTAGTTTAACTCAAGTCAGTTTCCAGTTTTGGAACTACGGAGGCCTCAGGAAGATCCTTCTGGACTAGTTTAACAACCACTATATATGGGCAGGGGCAGCGCGAGGTTGCATCTCCTGTAAGGCCTTATATGTAGCGCGCGCAAAGCTCCTGAAAATAACACCAGTTGTCTGTCTCAAGCCTAAGAACAGGTCATGCTTAAGTAAACTTGGCAGATAGTTCTATTCGTCATGACCTAAACTTTAACTGAACAATGATTAATCTTCACTTATGTAAAGAGCTACAAATATTTATGGATTTCAAGTGAATGGTGATAGAAAGATAGTATTAAACTGAAATGCAACGTAGACAGCCTTAATTCCATTTCAAAATGAGATTTATGTTCATTAAAAGGGATCATGGTACCTCACAGTGGTAGGGAGGTAAAAGGAAAGGTGAACAACCCTATAATTATTATTCATTCTCATCACCATCAAAAAGCATTTATCAAACATTGTTAGGCATAATTTTGTTGGCTGTGCAAGTGACTCTCATTATGACCCAGCCGTGCCGGGTTTCTGTCCTAATAACCACAGCAAGCTCCTCAAGATTCCCACAGGCCGGAGGGCAGGCCTCCCACAACCCACCCCTCTGCCTGCACACCGCAAGCTTCACACCAACACAACCACCCAAGACAAGACCCTTGGGGTTCCTCCTGGTCCCCTTCCATGCCCCAGAGGCAGAGTAAACAAAGCTTAGAAAAGATGTGGGGAAGTCAGAGGCTGTGCAACCTGCTTCCACAGAGAAAGGAAAAGTCTACCAGCTTCCAGCCTGGTACTGGTTTCGCCACCCAGACAGAGGAGAGAAGGGCCGGGGCTGCAGGGTACCCTTCCTCAGCCCCCAGGGCTACCACCCGGGCCCCCACCCCAGGTCTCTCTGGGAAGCCTTCAGGACCAGGACACACTGCCTGAACTCTTACTTCGGGGTGTGCAGCTTGCTCTGAGGGAAGATGAACAATCACGGCAGATAAAGGATCTGTGCTAAAGGCCTGGGAAATCCAGACAACAAATTAACCTTGGGTTGGCTGATCAGCTGAGAAGGCAGCAGAGAAAAGGGCTGTTTCCGTTCACATTTTTTCAGGCTGCTGATAAGATTACAATATTATTTGAGAGACACTCTCTGTGAGCGCAGAGGTGATGAAAAGGCTGCGGGCCTTGCAGAGCAAGGCAGAGTTTTGAGAACCTTTGCCCTTCCTTCCTCAAAGGAGGTAGGAACCAAGCAGAAGGAACCGCCCTGGGGTCAGACCCAGCAGATTCAAATCCACCCTCCACTCCGCCACGTGACCCTAAGCAAGTTCTAGACAACCTGTGTGAGCCACCCAGTCTCATTTATAAAACGGGCATAACTTGAAGTGCTGCTGTGAGGACTAAATGGATAGAAAAAAAAAAGATCATAATTATGATTTACTGACTTTCTGTGTGCCAGGTTCTGGGCTCAGCACTTGAAAGACACACTTTTCTCCTTAATTGAATTTTGCCTTGTCCAGTGCCTGAAACGTGGGGGCAGCTCAAATGCGTAGTGCCTTCTCTTGCTAACAACGAGCACAGAAGGTTATTCCACAGGCTTAGTAACACGTGGTTACAAATACACTTCTGCATTTATTAGCATATTTCTGCCACATTCCTGAACCTCTCTCCCTTGGCCCTGTCTCCTCCTTGGCCTCACCCCCACCCTCCACCCTCCACCCTCCAACCAGACTCCAGTGCCAGCTTCAGCCCTGGGTCTGGCGGTGCCAGGGCTCACAGCACTCAGAACTCTGCTGGTTTGTGCCTGCAGGCGCATCAGCAGTGAGGGGACTGACTTCCCTGCCAGTACAGACACCCCCTCCCCCCAAAGCCATTTAGGGAGGGGCGTCAGGCAGCCTGGGGACAGTCAGGGTGTTCCGGGTGGAGGAAGCATCCAGAGTTTGAGTTTGGAGGGTGTGGTGAGCAGAAGCCAAGAGTCAGTAATGTAAACAAGAAGTGTTACCAAGCTTGTCAGATATCCAGACCGAGGAGGGCCCGCGGAGAAGCAGCAGGGCCCCCCCTCCAGGGGTGGAAGGCATTTTAGGAGCCCAGTCCAAGCTTTACCACAGCAGGACAGTCTCCGGGTCAGCTGGGGGTGACAGGGTGCCCCCGGGACTCGGCAGCACTTGGGTGGGTTTTTCTTTTTGAATTCTATCCCACACACCACTCAAAGAACAGAATTTTTTTTAGATGAGAGGTTTGACAGCAAAGTTGCTGCTCTGAAAAATCCTTCAGTCTTCCACGGCTTTTGCATTCTTTAATTACCTCTGAATTTTAATTTTGGAAAAGAAAACGTTAAGTAACCTGCATTTAATCTTCCACCTCTTCAAGGCAGGAAGCTGGCAGCCACCTCCCGTCTAACTTCCATTTAGTGAGAAGTTCAGAGCTTCTCCCAGCACTTGCACAAGCCCCAGCCAAGCTGATCCTCAAAAACCGAGGTCAGGAAGGAGCAGGCCCCAGAGCAGTGCTAGGGAGCCCGGAAGAAGACACAGCAGGAAAAGATTCAAGAACAACCAACCTTTTAAAAACTCCAAGTAATTAAACCCTATGCATCCAGATTAAAGTTAATTAATTTTTTAATTGAAGTCAGATGCATTCGTTAGACCAGAGGCTCCAGGCGGGCACCAGTGAGAATCAACACTGAGTTCACGGCCAATCATCCCGAACCGCCCTTTCTATCCTTCAATATGAAAGATCCAGGGTAACGGAGGATTTCATGTCACTTTCCCTCGACACTTTAAGACCCTTTACTAACATTAAACATATGCTGCTAAATAATTAATCTCGGTTTAGGTAAATTACACTTAATTAAAAAGAGAAAGCCCAAAGTAGAGAGAGACTCAGGTTATTACACGGACCTAGAAATTGTGAAATATATATTTAATAGAACACTACTCAGCTATTAAAAATGATGAAGTAGTTCTTTTTGGGGTAAAATGGATGGCTCTTGAGGTGATTATGCTGAGTCAGTCAGAAAGTGAAGGACAGATATATGGGGGATATAAATAACCAAGGAAAACAAACAGGCAAAGCGCAGCAAAAATAATTCTTAGACTCTGTGATAAATATACTGGTTACTGGAGGGAAAGCTGGGGATGGGATGGAAGGGAGAGGACATCTGCTGGGAGTTTTGGTGGAGGCAGAGTGAAGCATGTGCATATATGGAGGTGGGGAAATGCATCCCCAAAATGATAGTTAATGATAAAGTAATAAAATTTGAGGAAAACACCAGATTTACCTAGAATATCCAGTTACTCGGGAACACGCTCCATTTCACACTGGGTTTGTCACTGAGCAATGTCAAAGAAAAAGATGGAACGTATTTTCCTCGTCACTATAGTCAAGTTCCATAAACGGTGTCTGGGAAGAGGAGTTGGGTGGGCGGAGGGGGGACCCACATACGTGTAAAAAAAATTATACTTTTGAAGACTGTTATTCAAATGTTCACAAACAATATACGCACAGAATATTTTCTTTCGGGGTCCACTTCTTCAGAAATAAAAAAACTATCATGATTTTGGAAGGTTTTATAAATTCTTTTCTTTTTCCCTTATCACATCATTCAAAATTTCAGTTAATTCCGTCTGGAAGAAGTGAATAACTATCATGGTGGTACAATATTGCTCTCACAACCCTTTCCCACCTTTCAGTCAACTACGCAGACAACATTTATTAATGTTGTAATAAACCGTTACCTGCCTTTCCAAACATTTAGAGCATCTCTGTAAAAGTAGTGGACTTTTCTTTTCTTTTTTTAAAGTCTGCGGTTGGGGCCTCCCTGGTGGCGCAAGGGGTTAAAGCACCACAATATGAAGCAATCCACAGCCTCTGCAGCATGAGTTCGATCCCCGGCTGGCCAGGGAGCAACCCACATGGCATGGCAGACCTTTCCTGTCTCGCCCACTGCTCCCCTCAGCAGTGTGTTTCAGTCAGTCTGCCTGTTCCCCACTCTGTCTCTGGTGATTCCTCTCACCTTCCACACCTCTGGCCTGTACCCCAGTTCTCGTATGCATAAATAAATAAATCTTAAAAAAAAATACAGTCTGCGATTATACAACACGCCAGGTGTACCCTAGGCAAAGATCATGGATAATGGAAAAGGGAACTAAAAATGTATTAAGCTCCTACGGGCCAAGTACCATGATAGATGCATAACTACAGTTTAGTCATCTTGTTGACCCGATGAGGTGAGTGTCATTATCCTCACTTTACAGGTGAGGAAACGAGAGTTCATGGGAGTTAAGAAAACTGCTCAAGTCCCTCAGTGAAGGGCACAGCTCCACTTCACACCTGGATTCTCTGCTCCATAACGCAGGCTCTTCCGACCTGGTCATTTTTATTTCCACTTGAGAATTCTGGCCACAAGCAGGAGAGTGCTCCCCACTTGCGAGTTGGACACTCCTAAAAATATTAGGCTTGTATCATCACTCCTAACATCTAACAATCCCGCGCCAAATTCCTTACCTCCTCTGACTCTGGCAAAAGCTTAAGAATTTCTCGCAAGTTCTCTGATCCATAATGCTCACTCTTTCCTTGATGAATATCTCCTACGATGGACTGGGGAGACCTTGAAAAGACAAATTAGGCAGATTCCATTGCCTGTTTGCTGGAGCGCCCAAGAAACACAAATCAATGGAAATTAAAACAAATCACCTCCACCCTCTTTTCCACCCTGGGCCTGCAGGCTCAACGGCCCCATTGCCGGCGAATCGGGACACCCCATTCTACTGCTTAGAGGCACCTTCACTCAAAAAATCATCCTTGGGTACCCCCCAAAGGCCACAAGTGCAATGGCCACTGGGAGTCTTCTCTGGGGACAGAAAAAACAGCCCCTTGGTCTTTTGGGGGCCCCTGCAGAGTCCCCTCCTTTCCACTGTAGAACCCCAAATTGCACCAGTGTTGGACTCACCCGAAGGGCAGCACTAAAGATGATTTTACAAACTCCCTGATGGCACAGGCATGAGTAGCTGTCTCAGGGCAGATCTCCCTGAACCTCGAGCTACCAGATTGTGTTTTCATGAGGGAAAACAGCAGAGAGTGACAGACAATGCGACTCATGAAGCCAAATATCTAGAAGGATGGCTCTGCTCTCACTAGCTAGAATCTGGCTCTAGCTGGGTCACACCCACAGACAGGGAAGCTGACAGCATGGACATGACTAAAGTTTCAAATGGGTGCAAAAATCTTACTTCTTAAATTGCTTAAGAAATATTCCAATGTTCATGCTCCGTTTTGCATCCAAGATGGTAATCTAGAAAAAAATAGACACCATACACATAAGATTGTTAAAATTCAAGCAAAAAAAGAACTGGAAGGAGGAGGTCACTCAAAATTTATCAAAATACAGTATTAGAAGAGGATTAATGGATGATTAATCAACATACCTAGTATAGTCTTGTGAATATTAAAATATTATCATCTCCCCAAACTTTTTGCAACATTACATATTCTTAACTAAATTATACCTACTATTAAAAATATTTTAAGAGCCTCCCTGGTGGCACAGAGGGTTGAGCACACCCCTGTGAAGCTATCTGCAGCCTCTGCAGCATGGGTTCGATTCCTGGCCGGCCAGGGAGAAACCCACATGGCGCAGCAGACCTCTCCTGCCTCACCCGCTGCTCCGCTCAGCAGTGTCTTTAGTCCATCTGCCTGTTCTGCTTCCCGCTCTGTCTCTAGTGAATCCGCTCACCCTCCTGTGCCTCTGGCCTGTACCACAGCTCTTGTACAAAAATAAAAAATCTTTAAAAAAAAAAGAGGAAATTTCAAATATCCAATTTAAAAACATATCTATAAACTAAAAAAAAATTAAAAACAAAGCATATTAACTTTTTTAATTTAGCAATTTCCTCTTAGAAGCCCATGTTAAAAAGCCTCTATCTGGAAATAGATGAAATAGATGTGCATAGTAAGAATCATAAGATTTGAATTAATAAAGTAAAACATAACTATGAACATATTAAAGAGGGAGTCCCCCTGATTTGGGGATGTAAAAAAACCAATACTGTTATTTTCAGAAATTTTTTCATTGTGTGTGTTTATTTGTGTGTGTGTGTATGTGTGTGTTTGTGTGTGTGTGTGTCCAATAACACTTTCAGGACGAGGTTGGAAAGTATCCTCTATTTTATTTACTTAGAATTTTAGAATGGAAAACTTTTGTGCTGTGTGTCACTAAGATGCATTTTTTGGTTGGCATTTTCACCTCTTTGGAATCAGAAGTATCTGACAACATCCGGCATCTTCGGTTTAATGAAATATGGTAGCTACACTAATGGATCACCGAAGTATAGATTTCTGGCTGCAATAGGTTTCAGCTATTCAAAATGAATGCTTTGGAAAGGTTTTATCAGACTAGAAATTAGAATCTTCTGGGGCTAAGTACAGAAGTCATTTCTTCCTTTGGAAGCAAATACCCAGGGTGCATGGTGGGGAGGGAGGGTTAACCTTAAAACTGATGTAATGTTGCCCATTTGTTTTGTGGGTAAGAGAAACTAACTAAAATAGGAATGCTGTTATAATGCTCTTCCTTTACAGATGTATGTGATTCATGGTGAACAAAAGAGAATCAGGTTTCAGATTAAATTGCGGATCTCTGAGTCTGTTTCTCAGTTTGTAAGCAGCAGCAAGACTGTTAACTACAGTTACTGGTACTTCCTGGCTATAAGGTTAAATTTTTACAAGAATATGACTGCCTTCTTCTGAAGACTAATCTTAAACAATCACATTATTTACTATCTTAGAGGTTTATTTCATGTTAACACAATCACCTGTTAGCCATAAAATAAACTCCCAAGCTAAAAGGGCAGGCTCCTTATTGGAAGCCAACCTGGATGGCAGTTCAAGTTCAGCGAAGGCGTACAGGGTAGAGAGAAGAAGGTGGAGAATAAAATCTGTCACTCATACCTGTTAAGGAGAAAGAGGACTCTAAATCGATTAAGGCAGAAAACCATGTTTCTCACAAAAATTAGTGTATATAACAGTAGTGTATGTTGACAGTGTATACATGTATCTACAGAATAACTTCTCTGTACGCACATGCCCAGAATGCAGAAATATCTCCTTTTATATTTCTTATTAAATCGCCATCTCTTGCTATATTTAACCCTCCAAGGCAGCAGTCCCCACCCCCCACGGTCCAAGCCCCACCCTCATCCTGTGCCTCCTCAATCCTCCGGGACTCTGTACACTTGGCCTAGTTCCACAGCCATTGTTGTTGAAAAAGTGATGGAGAAATTGCTCATTATTCCTATTTGACAGTTAAGGAAATGGAGCCTCGGAGATGTCATTTTTTAAACTTCCCCAAAGCAATTCTAGAACTGAAATGTTAGCTGGGTCTTCTGCTCCTCGATACTCTAGTTCCTGTGAGTTTTGGTATCTCTGAGACTGCAGAACAAAGACGCTCCCCAAGCCTGGTATTCCTGTTGGGGTGCTTCTCTGCCGTGGGACTGACGTGAAGCAAGGGCCTGGCCCAGTCCTCCAGTGACCCCAGAGCTGGATCTTAGGGCTGAGAGCCCCCAGGCCCAGTGGGTCTTGCTCCACTCACGAGCAGCCACAGCCGAGGCCAGCGCTGTCTCCATGGCCTGAAGCAAGGCTTCCGACAGCTATCACCGATTCAGGAGAATTCAGCAACACTCAGAAAACCTGGGCAGGGCATCAGTGAGCTCCTTACAGGGGAAACAAAGCCGGAGCCTCGTCCAAACAAGAACTTGAGACAGCTGATAACATCCCAGGGACAGTCCCTGTCTCCTGTTATCCACAGGTTTGCCAAGTCTGCGAGCAGCCTTTCTCACAGGTTACCACACCCGATCCTCCCAGAGCAGTGTTATAAAAGTGTTTGTTAAAAGTCCTTTAAAGAGGGTTATCACCACACATGTAAATCAGCTTATCTAACTTCCCAAATGCACGTGGCCCCGGTGGAATTCAGAACCAGTCAGGCAGTGGACTCTGCACGAGGGCTCCCTGTGGACTCGCAGCTACACAGACTGAGGCCAGAAATGAACCCAAGGGGGCCTTGTCCCTCCCCACCAGGTCCAATAAATCTGCAATCAGGGGCCTCTCTGGAAGCCTAGGGGTTGAGTCTCAGCGCTATCACCACCAAGGCCTGAGTTCAATCCCAGGCCAAGGAGCTGATCTATGTATGGCGCAGCAGACCTCTCCTGACTCGACGGCTGCTCCCCTCAGCAGTGTATTTCAGTAAATCTGCCTGATGTGCTCCCCACTCTGTCTCTGGTGAATCCTCTCACCCCCTGCACCTCTGGCCTGTACCCCAGTTCTTGTATGCATAATAAATAAAAATCTTAAAAAAATTAAAAATAAAAATCTTTCTGTGTCCTCCGATAGGAACTTTGCTTTCGACTTTTAGTGTTTTTTCAGTATCTTTGCAACTGCTCCCTGGTTCAGTTCTGTTACCTTTCATTTCTTCGGAGGATAGCAGAGGGCTAAGGCTGTCCCTTCCTTGAGGTGTGTTTTGAGTTCTAGAGAGATTCAAGTACAGAATTTGGAAATGTTCCTCTCCCCACATCGCCCACCCCTCTTCCCCAGGCTTTGCTTTTAGGGGAGCCGAGGAGGGGATCAAAAACTCAATTTCGAGGCTTTTTTTTTCAAATTCAAATCTATATCTCAAACACCCTTCCTAGTTCTGGATTGTGAGCATGTCCCAGAATTCTAGAACATACTGTGATCATAACAAAAGTGGAAAAAGAATGACTGATGCCTGAATTACAGTGTGGGAGAATAAAACAGCTCATGAATTTAGAAAAACCGCCCTTCTTCCTCTCCTTGTCTGGAAGTGATTTTACTTATTCCCTATATGGTCCATGGAATGCTGCCAACACCACAGTGAATGACCAAGTGTTTTGATACTTGTGGATCCTTTGTGAATCCAGTTCTGACCTACTGACACCTGGTAAGATAATACCTTTGCTCCCTTGTTCAGTTCTGTCTAGATCTGTTACTTTTAATTTCTCTGGAAGATACAGAAGGGCTAAGGCTGTCCCTTCCCTCAGGAGTGTTTCAGCTTCTAGAGGGATCCAGGTACAGACCCGGCTGACATGAGAGAAAGGGCCTGAAGAACAGCAGTAATGGACATACCGGGAAATTCTTAGAGCTTTGAGCAGAGGACTCTGAAAAGGTGGAGTTTAAATTGAATCTTTCTTTTTTTTTTTTAATCTTTCTTATTATTATCCCCAGTAATATATCATTGTCATTTCTAATTACTTAATTACAACTTAATTACTATGGTGGCATAATAGCCTCTTCAAGTTAATTTTTAGGTTAACAAAGATACAAGGAGACTACTATTTCATAACGTCTTTTCCTCCCTCCTAAACATTCTAATTTACTCTTTTAAGAGTCGTTCATCCTAAGTTCAGTCACCCTCCAGCCAGATGTTACTATCTTCCAGCAACTTCTTCCTTGGGAGTATAATGGAACTTATTTGTAATGCTCTCTGAGTTCTTTAGAGCAGGAGCCAACCACATAATCGCAGGCCGTTTCTGTAGGAGGCTTATTTCAAGGAGACATAATCTGTTCCTTGGCGAGTTTGAACCTCCAGGATGATGGCTGTGTGGTAACATGTGGGAATGCGATGTTTCCAGGGTCAGGATGCGTTCCTCTGCCGAGCGTGTGGCTCGGGTATTCTCCAGCCCACACGGACAGGTGGTGAGGATTGATACTTTCCACCCTGGGCTCCATTGACGACAGGTATTTGCACACCTACATTCACAGCAGCGTTACTGACAACAGCCAAAAGGAGGAAGCAACTCACATGTCCATCCATCATGAGTAACTGAACAAAATATATTTACTTACAGTGGGCTATCATTCAGACTTAAAATTCAGACACGGGCTAAAAGATGGATGAACCTTGAGGATACTATGCAAAGCGGAATAAGCCAGTCACAAGAAGACAAATATGCAAATATGGTTGATCCCACTGAGAGGAGGTGCCTCTTCCTCTTTCTCTGTAGAGGGGGAGGGGGGTAGGGAGCTGCTGGGACATGGCTCAGAGCTTCAGGTGTGCAAGATGAGAAGCCACCTGGGGATGGAGGGTGATGGGGTTGTATGATAATGTGGATGTTTTAGTGCCACTTGAACTATCCACTGAAAATTGGTTTATGATGGTAAATACCCTCTGTCTTTTACCACATATTAAAAAATAATTATTCCATTTGGGTTTTTTTTTATTAAAGAAAAAAAAAAGGAAAGATCTACTTAAGATACAGGGATGGAAGGAGTCAAGGAAAAGGACTCTTCTCCTCAATTTTAGATCTGACCTGGAAATTAATGTTTCCACATGCCCTCATCCAGTCCTTCCTTCAAAATTCCTGAAACTCAGTAAGCAGAGCTAGGAAACAATGGTGAGCTTGACCTCCTGTACAATAAGGAACGTGCGTTGGAAGCAGGGGCAAAGGCCAGGGTATTAAGGAAATGACCTCTTGCTCCTTCCAATATTGAAAGGCTACTCCTACGAAATAAAGGACTCTGCATCAGGGAAAGCGCTGAAGGCTGGTCTGTGCTGGAGAACACGACGTCTTCTCCTGCAGACTTCCTCCTTCCAAATTCACCTCACTCAAATCTAATCCCAATGTTTTCTGCCATTTTATAATAAATAGGCTGTTCCTACTGCAACAGGGACCATCACATCAGCTTCAAGGGCCCCCAAGTGAATTAGCGGAGGGAAGTTACAATGTTCCTGAGCCAAAGAGGCCAATATGGTTAGCTGGAGAATTCGATAATGCACAGAGCTGCTGCTCCGGCCAGAGCCCTCCTCACGCTCTTATCTGGTCAACCCCATCTCTGACCTATTTTCTCTACAACAAATTAAAAAATGATGCATTTCGATTCCCACGTGTGCAGGCATACAGGGTCCCTTCCTCTTAACCCCTGGTTTCCTAATAATTTCTTCTCCCAAGTGGTACATTCTTGATTTACTTTCATGTTTGGAAATGAAGACGACCTGCACATGCCGTTTGACTGCGTTTCTGCTCCAGAGAGCGCGCTTTCCATGAACTTCTTATAACATGGTGGCTTTCTTTTTTGTCTAAAAGCAACACATTCAGTGTTAGCAGGAAATAGGCTTCCTAGAAAGTCCAGAAACCTCTGTGTCACAATGCCCTAATGTAACCCAGAGAGCTGAGCGCCGAGGGCCCTCTCACACGCACTTGCGGAAGGAAAACGAGCTAAAACCCCAAAGATGTAGATGAGCTGATGATGTTATTTAACAAAAGGCATCTTGTCCCAGAGAGCTCCGCCTCGCCTCATCTCGGGTCACTGAATAGGGGAACTCAGTTTTCTGTCTGGGCGGAGACAGCCCGATACTGGCCCGCAGCAGACCCCTGGGGCAGCTGTGCAGAGCCAGCCCCAGCCCACGCTTCCCGCCCAGGTCACCCTTGGGGGGAGGTCTGGGGGGTCACTGCTTCCCTCCTGGCTCCGGCTCATCACCTCGGCCCCTCCTAGCATTTCCAGGGCACACTCCAGGGCTTGCCCTGGCTTCTTGGTGATGCTCGCAAGGTCTGAAACAGAGGCGCCCCCATCACCCTACCGTGCCCGGTGCAGGCCCGGCCCCGCACACCAGGCTTACCTCCTCTCTGGCCTCCCTGAAGGACGAATTTAAAGACCCGCCTCGCCTGGGAAGGGTTGACTTGCTGGTCTCTTCCTGCTGCCCGAAGAGCTCCTCGATGGTCCGGGTGTCAATCTGGAAGTGGTGCTGCTTCCTGGCCGCCAAGGTCCAGATGTTGGTTTTGCCGCGCACTTGCTCCTCGGGAATGGTTTTCCAAAAGAAGCTTCTCATGCGCTTCTTCTTGCCATGGTGGCTGTAGCCGTTCATGTGAGAAGCAGGGGGCGGTCCCGGCGGTGGGGGTGGTGGGAGGGGTGGCCCCCCAGGTAGCGGAGGTGGGGGGGGAGGAGCAGGAGAGGGGGGTAGCCCTGCCCCCGAAAATGGACATGGTGGGGGGGGCGGGGGTGGGGACGGCGCCTGCCCGATCATGGGTCCAGCTGCCGAGGCCACGTGCCCATTTTCCTTCTCGCTGACCAGGGACACACAGTTCATCACATGCATAGTACTTGCGCCTTCTAAGGAGACAAAGTCTTGACCTTGGGGAAGTGGACACTGTCAACCTCGAGTCAGGCTCGGCTGCCTGCTAGGCCGCGGCGGGAGAAGGGCGCAGCCTGCGCTGGGCCATCCCAGACCTGCAAAGAGGGATCAGAAGTCAAGAGGGCACTGGTACCAGCGCTTCCCTCCCAGGCCAGGCCTCCCGGGTTAGCTGATGTCAAAATCACGCAGGGGCAAAACACCCAAAAGCGGGAGGACAGGAGCGCAGAACTTTTCTAAAACGGGAACCAAACTTTAGGGCCTGGAAATGCTGCTAACGCCGCGGCAATAAACCCCAGCTGGACACCTTCCACCATCAGCGAGATGCGTCCTGATTGAGAACCTGCTCCTTTGGTGAATAAACTACTGTTCGCTCGCTGGCTGGGTGTCCTCTGGCAATGGATGGACACTCTCCACCCCCATCTGCCCAGGGGTGACGCTATGGCACTGGCGGTTGGAGTGAGTGACCCTGCTGCCACCCACAGGGCCATATCCCCTACCAAGCCAGGGGTCAAAGGGCACCTTCCACCTTGTGGGTAAGGGGTAGGGCATCTGGGGATGATGAAATACTGGTCCAGCTCATTCCCCTGGAGTCAGGGCCACATGTTCCTGCGCCCTGTGATGACACGGCTTCCCCCCAAGCAGAGCAAAGACACTAGACGTGAAGATTAGAGGTTCCAGCTCCAAATTAAGCTTTGCCGCTTACAGTTGTGAACACGTCACTTCGCCCCCTAGACTCTGGTTTTCTCATTTGTAAAATTAGGAGGTTAGGACACATGAAATGACCTCTGTTGTTGCTTATGATGCTGTCATTTAATCCCTCATAGGAAATGATCAGACCTTCTCTGACACACACACACACACACACACACACACACACATACACACACACACACACACAACTGCCTCTTGTCTGTTCGTTCTCCACAGTCACTGACTTATTTTGGGGGCTTGTATCTGTACTTGACCTAGACATGCTTGCTTTTGGTGTTGGTTAGTTACAGGCCTGATATGAAAACAGACACCGTGAGGATTTGGGAGAGGGAGCACCTGTGCAGGTGATGGACTGAGTGCCCCAAATATGGGGGATTATGAAAGGGGACTGTTGCTTCCAGATCCAAAAGGGCCACGTGGAAGAGCTTTCCGACTGGCCGTCTCAATGCCATCCTCCTTCCTCAGCATCACTGTCAAAGTTCACACTTACATCACAAACTGGTCAAACAATGCTAGATTACACAGGAGGAAACTATCTGATATGACCAACTCAAGTGCTATGAAGTGTTTTACGCAGAACCATATTAAAAGGCAGATTGCCTCGGGAATCAGAATGAAGACTTCTAAAACAGACTGTTTTTTTATCAGACTCTACTTCTGCTATTTTTTAGGGGTACAAGCTAGGTCACACAGGTCAGTGAACCCACGTTTCAGCATCCTCTTTTTAACAGAAAGATACACCTGCTTCATTCTTTGCATAAGAATAAAAATGAACTAATACATGTACGGTCCTTCCCAAGCTGCCTGGTTCTTAATTATTATTAACAACTGGTGTGATATGTCAGTATGATTTTATCTGCACAGGCATTACATTTGCTTTAAAGTATGTATTGGGTTTATATATGAGATGCTCAGTTCTCCGTGACTACTAGAAATTTACTTTTAATATTTTCATCCTCTGCATCTAACTCACTAGATTTGTAAGATTCACACAGTTAATAATTCACAAGACTTCAATATTTAGTGATTCTGTATAAAAATGATCTCTACATTACAAAAGCAAATGTTTTTATGTAACATTTGAATATTTACATTCAATTGATGTGGGTAAGAACATTTCCAATTATTAATTGGCTATTTTTTTTGTTTTTGCCATTTTAACCATTTCAAGCACACACTTCAGTGGCATAAAGTGCATTCACAGTTGCATAGGCCCCTAACAGCCACTGGATAATGCTTTAGAAAGTAAAACTGAAAATATTTATCCAAGCCAACTTACAGCTCACTTGAGATACAACTGGTTTTTAAAAGGAGTTTTCATAATTATCATTAGGGGCATAACTAGGCTGTTTTCATACTTGGCACCCCTAAAGCAAATGACTCACTGTCAATTACAGTTTATAGTTATATTTGAACTCTTCATTTTTCAAGACTGTGCAGGTAATCTTGGCAGTTCATCCTTACATATTTTTAAATACTTCTGTACATAAAATATCTCATGTATAGAAGAGTTGCTAATCCTCCAATTCACTTCCAGTTCTAGATACGCTGACTCCTTTTTAGATTTTCCCAAAGATGGTGATAAAAAAGGCTCCATCCTAGAAAGCAACAACTCCTTCCCTGCTGCTGCTGCATAAGAGCTCACCGAGCAAATGTCAAAATAACCAAGAGCGCGAAAGAGACTATTCTCGGAGGCACCGGACCGCAGAGACCATCTTATAGCACCAGAGGCCGGAGGAAATGTCTCTTAGAGCATGGTGCACTGCACAGCCCAAGCAGCAGATAAAAGTTCCTCAGAGGAAGAAGTGACACAAGAGAGCTAAGCATCAGCAGGATTCCACCTCTGCCCCATCTTGGGAGATAATGTTGTTTTTCAAAGTTAAGGAACAAAAGAAAATTTACAACACTGTTCCTGTTATGTTGTGTGGCAAATTTTTTCCCAGGGTAACATACCAGGGTCCTAGGCCCCCAACAGTTTCTAATGAATAAGTTCCCTGGCAATGATTAGCTAAGATGCTAATGCTTTTACTACCGGCTTCTAAAGGGCTTTGATAGGTCTTTGCTCTGGGACAGGATTCCCAAGGTCAAAGAGAAGGTAGGAAAAGGAGAGTGGAGACAGCCCTTCCGGCCCTTTCCACAGCCTCGTGAGATATCGAGTGTTTGATTTACTGTGGTACTTACTGTCCACAGTGAGGCGGCACCGCCACAGGCTCATGCGCACAAGGAGAAACAGGTGATGACCAGCCCTTCCAGACCCTCACAGCTGGGAAGTGCTGGCCTAGGAATTAGCCTTGGCTGTGTCTGGAAAAATCAAGTGTCCATCCATCTCCCCAGGACAGACGGAGGCAGGCTTGTATTTAACATTTCGCCTACTGGCTGGGGAGGACAGGACTGAGGAAGAGGAAAAGGTCTAAGGCTCCTCCAGTGACAATTATAACACATCACAGGCGTGACTGACACATGGACCCTGGAGGGAGGGGGCTGTCATTCTGCTGAGACTCTTGTCAACTGTGTGAAACTTTAATAAAGGGAGGCTGTGCTCATGCACTCTGTTGCTCGCCAAGCAAATCCCAGAATGGGAATATGTATTTCTAAGGGTCTCCAAAGAAGCCCCCTGCTCCCTCCTAAACTCTCCTGCCTAAAGAGTTGGCACTACTTTGCTCCTGGTGCCAGAAACGTGCTGAAGCTTCTGCTCTAGGGAGTGGATGAGAGGGAAGGAGAGGGAGTATGTAGCTTCACTTCACAGTGTATTTAGGAGGAAAATCCCTTCTTGAAAGTCAGTTCCCAGCTGAGAGTTTTCCCAAAAGAGAGCGAGTAGGGCCTGGTGGCTCAGAGCCCAGGCACCCCACAGGTCAACAGTAACCAAGAGTAAACCTTGAGGAACACCCGCTGGACACCTTTCCCCTTGATTCCTGACGTGTGTCACAGATGCGGTGGGGCAGTTGGGGCTGGCACACCCTTCTGAGGAAAAACTGGGGGCAGAGCAGGCCAGGTTGGGGCGAAGAGGCAGAGGCACACTCCGCCCTGTTTACAGATTTGGGGGCTGGTGGGGGAAGAGTCGGGGGAGCAGCGCAGGCAATCCTAGCACAAGGCAGGCTTGTCCTCACGCCATGACTCCTTGGAGAAGGTGCCTCCCCACCACCGATCTTTCAAAACCCTTCTTGCTTATTAAACACAGAATGTCAAACGCACAGTTGGCGCAGAGCTGGCGACAGGCAAGTCTTCCCCTCGGTCCTCTCGGCCGGCAGGAGAAGCGCTGGAGCCGTTTCCAGCCCGCGCGCTGCATCCTCAGCCCGACACAGACATTTCACAGACGCCGCAAGCGCAACAGCCGGCGAGCAGGGAAGGGACGCCTGCCCTGGATGCGCATTTTCAGTTTCTCTCAAGGTCCCCAAATCAAGGAGCTAAACAAACAAAACCAACACGAGCAGACCGGCGCCCGAGGATGCTCTGGACCAAGGGAAGGAAGCGCCGGTGCCAGCCCCGCGCCCGCACCGGGGTCACCGCGTCCCCAGCGCGCGCGGCCGCCGCAGCGCAAACCAAGGTCCGCGGCCCGGCTCCTCCGCCCGGATGGATGCGCGTGCGGGACCCCGCGGCGCGCTCGCCCTCAGAACCTCCGCACACGGCGTGGCTCCCCGGTCTCTGCCCGGCCAGCGGCCACCGCGTCCCCGCCCCGCCCCGCCCCGGCCACTCACCCCAAGGCCGCCCGCGCGGCCGCACGAAAGGCTCCAGGGCGCCGGGAAGCCCTCGCGCGAGGTGGCCCCGGCCGCGTCGGCACCAGCCCCGGGGGAGGCTCCTCCAGCGTCCGGCCACAGCGAGAGGGACGCCCGCGAGAGGCCCCGGCGGGCACGCGCGACCCCGCGGCGTCCTTATCGGGGCGGCTCCGGCAGCGCCGCCGGGGCGGGGGCACCGGTGCGCGCCCGAGATACCGGCGCCCGCACGCGCCGCGCCCGCCCTGCGGGTACCCGCGGGGAGAGGCCGCGCTGGCCGTGGCGGGACAGCGGGGCGCACAGGCCCGACGCCCCAAGGGCTGGACCCTCCGCCTCCCGGGGGCGCCCGGCGTCCGCGGTCCTGCGGCTCCAGCGACCCGAGCGGCGGCCGCACCCGCTCGCCCCTCCTGGGGCGGGGCAGGTGGCCCGGCCCCGCCCCCGAGCCCCCAGAGCCCGAGCGCCCACCCCTCCGCGCTGCACCCCCAATGCCCGCCCCCTCCGCGGGGGCAGCGGCACCAGCAAGCAGGAGCCGAGGAAGGGAGCTAATTAGGAAAAGTGTCTCTGCGCCTGAAAAAAACCGGGGTTTTCCTACCCTCGACCTTCCGCGGGGGCACCTCCCAAGCCCAGGGTCGGGTCCCCGGGCGCGGGCGAGACAGCCTCACGTCCGC